CTCCTGAGTAGCTGGGATTACAGGCACGCACCACCATGCCCAGCTAGTTTTTTGTATTTTTAGTAGAGACGGGGTTTCACCATGTTGACCAGGATGGTCTCGATCTCTTGACCTCGTGATCCGCCCGCCTCGGCCTCCCAAAGTGCTGGGATTATAGGCATGAGCCACCGCGCCCGGCCTAATGTATATTTTTAAGCTAAATTTAAAACATGGAGGAGGAGTGGAAAGGCTCTCTATTGGTAAGATGAGAATGTCTTCCATTTTCCCTGTCCTTTCCAAAATGTAGTCACAATATCTCATCCTCACAATGGAATAACTGTCACTCAGTATAATTTTTGAATCCATCATTTTGAGCATTGTTATTTCGGCTTGATTAACAAGGTGTGTGCAGTAGTTGCTCCTCTCCCCATCCCGGGGTTCCTCCCCTCCCCCGTGAGCTGCACTCCAGCTGCACTGGAGCAGCCCCATCCTAAGCACCTGCAAAGTAGCTGAGGACCAAGCAGCTGAGCTGAGACTCATGGTCCCATCCATAGAAACGGACTCTGGTCCCCTTACCACCAAATGGAATGCACTGGGAGGAAATCAGGCTGCTTCCAGACCTGATGAGAAAGCATGGAGGAAAGCAAGCAAGTTCACGCTGCCGGAAGGGATCTGGGCAGCACAGTGACCACCACCATCGTCACTGTCACTGCAACCCTCCACACCACCACCTCTACTGGACTCACTCTCAACTGGGCCTGCATTTTTGCATTATTCTTTTTTTTTTTTTGAGACAGAGTCTTGCTCTGTTGCCAGGCTGGAATGCAGAGGTGCCATGTCAGCTCACTGCAACCTCAGTCTCCCAGGTTCAAGCGATTCTCCTGCCTCAGCCTCCCGAGTAGCTGGGACTCCAGGCGCACACCACCATGCCCAGCTAATTTTTGTATTTTTACTAGAGATGAGGTTTCACCATGTTGGCCAGGATGGTCTTGATCTCTTGACCTCATGATCCACCCTCCTTGGCCTCCCAAAGTGCTGGGATTACAGGTGTGAGCCACCATGCATGGCCACATTATTCTTAAGACATGAAGACCTAGGCATGAGCAACTCAATCCCTCTCTGCCAGGAGTCAGTGACCGCATCTGGCTTTTTCAGCTTCCCAATGGGAGACAGTCCCTGCCATGGAGGCTCACATCGTAGTGGGTCCCCAACATGGAAGAAGGTTTATAGGCTGTGCAGCCAAAACAAGCAAAAAGACAGTCAGTCACACAGTAGGTCACCTGTTATCTCCATTTTACAGATGAGGAGACTGAGGCCCACAGCTGCATTACATTAAGTGACTTGCTCAGTGTCACACAGCCACTAAGAAATGTCACGCCTCTTATGGGTGGCTGTGCTTTGCTCACCTGATCAGGACAAGCTATCTGGAGAGAGAGCGAGCTTCCAGTTTGCAGCCTTGCCACCCACCTCTGAGTCTGAAGACAGTGCTCTAGGTTGAGAATATCCCATACAAAGCGGGTGTTTCCATGCTAGCAGACAGGTCGGTACAGACAGGCTCAGCCTTTCCCCCTCTCCCCATTCCTGTGATCTTTCTCTGGATCCCTTTCGCCCCATCACCAAAGTGTCCACAGCATGATGAGGTCAGGGAACTGAGCATCCTTCTGGCTGGGGAGCTGTATGAAGCCGAGCAACGGACAAGTCAGGAGTGGGCAGGAGCTTTGTGCTAAGGTGTGGGGGCTTCATTTAACCAGAGGCTGCTGGGAGTTTGGATTTTCAGCAGGAGAGTGACCAAATTAGGATTCAGGAAGTAGGAGAATGGATAGGAGGGAATGAATAAAGAGTGGATGTGAAGAGGCTTATTAACAGACTTATGGTAGACAGGAGGTCGTAGTGTGGATGGAGAAAAGTGAGTGAGTCAAATATTAAACAGGTGGAATTCAAGGTCTCAGTGATTGGTTAGACACAAGGTGGGTAGGGAGGGGGCAAAGGGGAAAAGTCAAGCTGCTTGGACAGCTGAGAGCTCTAAGGGGGAAAACCCAAGTAGACAAACAGGTAAAAGGAAGTGTGATGCTTCTGGGGCTGAGGGCTCAGGAAATGGAAAAGTCAAATGCAGCCTCTAGCTTGGTGAGTGTGGATCACTCCCCTTTCTGCCCCTGTTCCTCCAGCTGAAGGTCGTAGTCAGTCAGCCTCGAACTTCATCGCCAGGTGTTGCAAGGCAAGTTAATCAAGCGAGGCAGAAGCCCCGGCAGGTAGGAGCACAAAGCCAGGAGACCTGGGCTCTCCCACTGGTTCAGCTGCAAACTAATTTTGCAGCCTTGAGCAAATCCTTGAGCAAATCTGCATCTTGGTTTCCTGGCCATCACTAACATTCCAGGGGTTTAGGAATGAAATGTGAGGAGGTTAACTGCTACGTAAATGTTTACTGCTAATAACCAACCATCCACAAAACACCTGTGTATCACCAAGGCAACCTAACGGCCATAAAAATTTTAAGTGGCTCTTGTTCTTCTGATTCATCACATTCTATCCATTTAACTTCCAGAACAAATTTAGCCCTCAAAATGTCTTGGTACATTTTCTGCCCGCCCCTAACTCTTTAAAACCTCCATCGTTTAAATGCCACTTCACCATTTCTGCACACTTGTTACCCAGCACACCCTCATCCTTTTCCTCTTGAAGCAGCCGGTCCAGCCCCTCCC